AGCATAAGAATTATTTAAACAAGAATATTTTTCAAGTATTCTATAAATAACCTATACAACATTGGAATATTTCTGATTTAGTTCACTTTAAGTGGACCTGCTTAAAAGGCTTTTAAATATGTCTAACCTATTTAATCCCTTTATTATCGTCAACTCAAGCGAGCAATTCATTTTCCACATTAAACCATTTCAATGTTTTATTCGTCTGGTTAGAGGAAAGTTGAGATACTTAATTCCTTTGATCACAAAAGAGTATAAATCCAAAAGATATTTGAAAATATTTAATTTGAAATGAAAGGTGGATCGATTATCTATCTATCTATCTATCTATCTGTCTATATATATATATATATATATATATATATATATATATATATATATATATATATATATATATATATATATATATATATATATATATATATATATATGAAGAAGGAAGGTTGAATGTAAATTCTATAACCCTGCCTCCTATATTCCTAAGCAATAGGGAAAAATCACTTAGTAGTAATTTTCACCCAATATTTGGTAGTGGATACTGCTAACCACTGCTTAGTTGTTCAGAGAGTTACTAACTAGAAGAAAACAGTTATTCAGTTCTCCCTGTTTTCTAACTGTTCTAACATATTCCAGGTACAATTCGCCAACCAAACACTGAATTGTAAATCATAAATTTTAGGTGACCTGTAATCATTATTCAAATGAAATTTCTTTGCAAAATTTTATCACGATGATGTGAAATTTTCATATTGAATATAATCTTTTGTCAATTTGTTACCCAACAAATAAACCATGTCCACCATAAAATTTTCTCGTCTCATTTCCTTTGTTTAGTGTACTTACAAGGTAAATTAATGACAGATCTTCTCTTTCTCTCTATCTCCCTGTCCCTCTCTCTTGTTTCACCGTTTGTTCTAAATGTAATAATCGTATTGAGTGTTGGAAAACATGTTTTATGACTATATATATAACTCGGTCTTAATTAATACATATGACAAGTTGTACATCTAAGAGCGTAAATCTTTTTATTTCATTGTTTCATAAAGTTTTAATGATGCTACTTACTCATCACTCTCATATCGTCTCCCCTTACCACCACTAAGATCAGCATCACCAAATACATACAAGCATACATAAATTAAGTACACATGAATCTTCCCTTATTTTTTATTAACCTTATTAATGTCAAAACACGTGGAATAATGTCTCAGTAGACAGGCTGACACAATCAAGCTTACATAAAATTAAACATTCATAATGCTTACACATAAGAATTTTCAATCTTGTCATTTAGTGTTAGGTTATAAAATTTTGCTACCTGGTTAAAAGTAAAATTAATCTGTCAGATTATACAATTTAATTTGACAGGAATTTTGTAATTATCCTTTTTCATTAATGAAACCGAAAGTCTAGTCGATGAATGTAAAGTTTTCTTTTTTTTTCAGGAAACATACAAGGTCAAAATATTCTTCAATGTTCATAATTTCAAAATTGATTCATTTTGAAATTTATATTCTGATAGTTGTCGGTAAATTAAGATGTTAGCCGCATTGATTTGAAATTAGTTGGAAGATACCTTCTACAGAGTAATACTGTTGTTATGGTTAGTAGGGAAAATATTAATTGGAACTATTCAAGTCTAATAACAAACATAATTATTCTCACTTTTTCTAGACACTTCTGAACCTAAATCTTTTAATTCTTCGTCAAAAGGAATAATTCATTACGGTATTCATCAAGAACTTTTAATTAAACTAATGATGAATGTTAATTCCTTCTAATAGTTCACTGAATAATATTGCTGTATTGCATAAATGACTTTTTATGTATTAACCACTTACTGCACACTTTTACATTTAATAGTTGAATTCATCATGCTCACTGCTGAAAAGTCCCATACTGGGACGAAATGGCCGTTCAATGTTTTCAGGTTTTCCATGGTTGTCTAGCTTAAATTGACTCATGAATTCAAGTACTATAAATATTCAGTTATATGCATATTTCTCATTACTCTTCCACACTGATTGCTCTTTTTGTTCATTTTCGCTGATGGAGGTTTCTCTGATATTTTACAATATAAAGTTCACTTTATTTTTAATGATTAGTATTCTTATATTTAAGTTGTAAGTAGCCCAATTGAAACTGAGAAATAAAATGAATATCTGATTCTGCTACAGTGATTATTCTTCTTGCTTTAATTCAATATTTGGATTTATAGTGTCATCATAGAATAGCTAAAAGTAAAATAATCTATATAAAGATAATAATTGAAGGTTTTCAATAATTAACAACTTCATCATTTCGTGTGACCTGTCCTTTTATTTTTTATTCTTACTTACGTCTAGTAGTATATGTCCATGTGTGATTTATGCGTCGGAAGACTGTTTTGCTATTAATCAGCAGTAACGCCATTATACATGCTTCATTCAATTTCCTTTACATATATGTTGATGTATTAGAAATAAATGCTCTTTGTTTCATGTAGTGTATGAAGTTACTTTGTGCGATAAAAATAAGCAATTATCCCTTGCAGATGCTTATCTAACTAAAATAAGAAACTTAAAGAAGAATTCCATTTGATCATATGATAGAGTATTCTCTATTACCATAATACATAGTCGAAAAAAATTGAAAAAATTTTCCCTCGTGATTATCTGCACACTTATGGTAGCTCTGTGGAGATTTCTGTTAGACTACCATGGCAAACCTGAAACACTGTACGGCCGTCCCATACCTGTACGGGACTCCTCAACAGTGTTCAACTACTACCATTCTCGTGGGATTCGAACCCAGGACTTGTGGTCTTGCACGGGAACGCCTAAGCTCTCTACCACTAAGCAGACACCGAACAGTGTTAATGTCTAACTTCTCTAATTAATCTTAATCCGTCAAGAAACTATTTTTAACACATAAAATCTACATAAAACCCGTCATTAAGTGTTATTTTTCGGCAGTGAATGTTACTTTATTTTTCAGCTCTAGTGATATTGTCATTAACTGTTAATATATCATAAATAAAACAGATTTGGCTAGTTTTTTGTTATCAGCAAAATCGAAACAACTAAATGAATATTTCGAAATAAATTTCTGTGTAAATGAATAACTTAATAATCTTTCGTTTAGTTGTTCTGTTGTCTAAAACAGGTCCTATGATGTAAAAATGTAATAAGTTAACTTATCTACAAACAATATTTGGAAAGTGACAGTTGTTCAAATTACTGTCTAGGTCATCATTTGAGATACCTTCATGAAAGGACCACATGAATACAGATATGAGTACTGTTGAAGAGCATAAACAAAAGACCAAATTGTTCTTAATTTAAATGCTAATATGTATCACCCGTTCATGAAACACTAATCTGGCTAGGATGTTGTCGGTGCTAACAATGTTATTTTAATGTCTAAAGAAAATAAAGCAATTAACAACTTAAATTTGTTGTCGGAGTACTTTAAAATCCTGAAAACTCAGTTAAAATTCATTTGTGAACACTGAATTCTTGTTATTGTAGTATTGAGCAGATTCCATTCAGACTTTTTTCCCGCGTAATATTGACAAATGAGCAAACTCAAGTTCCTGAGTTATTGAAACATCAGAACGAGTTTGATTCCAAACGATATTTTCTAAGATTTTAATAAAAATGTGTTGTTTCTGTAAAATAATTCCAATTAAGCTTCCATTTCCCGTTTTAGCTTAGTAACGTTGTGAGACACATAGAATGTGACTGCAGATTGTAGTTTGTCTACCACTGCTCTACGTAATATATTTACTTTATGGATCAGCATACTACTTGGGATTTGCTGTTAGAAGACTGTGTTTAAAAATATAACACCTTTTTATCATCTAATCGGAACTTTCATTTTACATTGATTGCATTTATTTTAAGTTGTAGCTATGGTTATTTCTTCTGATTACTGAAAATCTTTCAGTAATACTACAAAATATGTATAAATTTCTTTATGACTTTTAATTATGGACCAGTTTATCATATCACAGATATAAAGTTCAGTTATATTCTATTACTTATTAAAGAATATTAGTAAAAATTCATTTATTCATTGATCTTAATAATAATCCCTTTTATTTCATTATTTCCAGTTAGTTAGTTGTATTTTATCTTAGTTGTGTCTTATGAATTGGGTATTTTTCTTCATGACGTTTGTATTCTATTGTCAGCAAGTAATAAGACCTATTATTCGCATATATTTATTAGTAGAAAAACAAACTCATTAATAAAATTTCAGACTAAACTACTACACAACAGTTTTCTGTTATCTTGGGATGCTTCGAACAACACTCAAACAAAACTCAAAACAACCACACTACCAATTATCGACGGAATAAGTTTTGAATGAAAATCATTTTCCCTATTCAAATATTCAGTAACTAATGCTTATGTTCACCCCTAATTAATTATAGTCTATCGTGAAGTTGGGATACATCGTATTAATAAAAAATGATCTAATTAAAACCAGTCGAGGGACTTATAAGAAAGCAACAACAACAAAAAAGAAAAAGATTTTTGTGATATTCTATAAAATACTAATTGTTTCTATGAATAAGTAAATAAAATGAATTCGAAGGAAAAACAAAACGCATTATGTCGGTGAATAATAATAAAATCGATAAAAGTAATATCGTATTGTTTGTTCATTTGTTTTATCATATAAATTAATCATTGAAAGTGTCTCTGTAATAACATGCATTTACATTCATTTATGAAAATCAATGAACCATGGAAATAAATTACAGGATAACAAGAATGTAGCTTAAAGTTAACCAACTATTATGTTAAATTATAATTATTAATCTTGTTTACTTTTGTCAAAGAGCCATAAACTGATCATACTTAATAATAACAATAAATATTTTGTTTATAGACTGAATGGGGGATTTATTTTCCTATAAGATTTATTATAAAAATTATGTTCTCATCCATAGAACATCCAAGATCACAGAGTTTGTCATTTTTTTTTTAAATAATGAAACGGACTAATTCAGTGTTAGGATATGGTAGGATATTTGGCGCAGTAGCGGTCTTCTTTTGAAAGAATAGTAGAATTAGTACATCATTACGAAGTCAGTATTTGTTTATAGATGACAGGAAATCAGTTGTTATTTTCTGAAACATGAACTGTTTGTGACACTTATCATAATAGGATTACTGTCACTCTGACATAAACTGTGCATATGGGATAAAAGATGCTAAACAAATAACTAGTCTGCTACAGTTAACTGAAAAAAAAAATTGTGATGGATAACTTCTCAATCGTTGTCTTCTTGTTCACCCTCATTTTCATCATCTTCATCATCATTATATTCTTCTTCTTCCTCCTCCTCTTCTTCTTCTTCTTCTTCTCCATCAACGTCTTCTTCTTCCTCTACTACAACCATTACATCTTTTTGATGATCCGATTGCCCTAAATCATTTACCATTGGAACTTTGTCATTCCGAAATACTGTCTCACTTGTTTCGCTGAAGTTTGTCATAGACTCTGTTTTTATGTCATGATTATTTTGTTGAGTCATATTTAACTTTTCACGGGGAAAATTTACATCATCTAATTTTGTTGTCATTTCCGAGTGTGTGGGCAATGGTACTATCCCTGCTTCTGGTCTATCTCCGGGAGTAATTGCAAAATTGTTAAATAACAAATGTGATTCATTTTGGCGGTCATGACGATTTTGATAATGTGAGCGATTGTCTGAATCAAAATTCATATGACACCATTGTAGAAGTGACTGATGATTGTCATTCTCCTTGGAGCATTCACTGTACACTGAATAGTCGGAACTTGTACAATTTAATAGTTTACTTATTTTCTCCGGATAAACTGTAGCATGTTTCTGGTCTGAATATTCTTGTTGTTTGTGCAGTTCAGTTGCCCATAAGTCGTACGAAGGTTGAGACGCATCTGTAGAAAGCGTAGACTTCAAACTCTGTTGATTTTGACTATCAAAATAACGTTCTATGACATTTGTTGAATGAGTTGACACAATATCAGATTTCAACAAGGAATTTTGTTTAGTATCATGAATATTACCATCATTAGTAACTGCACTAATACCAATAACCTCTTGATGGTGATTGCTGTCAGTATTACATCGACGTATACGTTTATGTGCAAGATCATCATGTTCTCTATAGGGAATTCTCATTGCATACTCATTGTGAAAGTATTCACTCATTTTATGTTTTGAATTGTTGACATAATTAACGTTAGTTTTGTTTGGTAATTGTGACGATGGAGGTGGTGGTGTAGTAGTCAGCAAATGATTCGTTTTTGTTTGTTGGTGCTGATTAACGATATCTTCATATACTAGAGGATCATTTAATAGACAATATTCGCGACATTCAATTTCACTAATAGTTAGAAAAAAGGAAAGTTCGAATGAATTTATTAGTGTAAATATAGTGAATTACTATATATTTAGTTGAAGTTAGACATTAATACCATTGGATGACAGCTCAGTGGTCTAGAGGTTAAGCGTTCGTGCGCGAGACCGATAGGTTCTGGGTTCGAACCCGGCGAGGTGGTATCGTGGGTGAGCACTACTGAGGAGCCCCGTATTAGGGCGAAACGGCTGCCCAGTTCTTTTAGGTTTTCCATGGTGGTCTGGCTTCAATTGAATCATGATCTCAACTATTGAAATAATTATAATATCCACAAAACCCCTTCTGACATATTTATTTGTTTATCGTAAATATTAATAATTATGTTTCGTATGTAGAATATAAAAATATGATTTTGGCAAAAATAAATTTAGTTCTGACTATACATTTTAGTTCTGATGAAAATGAAACCCTTTTTTATCTGAATTTTGCAACTGAATTGTGAAATGACATTTTTACCGGTCACTGTTTATGCTAAGATGGCAGTGAAAATCTGATGCAAAAAACATTATTTCCTATTCCAACATAAACATTAATCCGAGTTTTTCAGTTACTTTGTCAAAAAATAGATCATTGTTTGAGTAAATTCATGGGAAACATGTCATTAGAAACTCCTGTTAATCGTTGCGCTACCGCGGATGTATAAAAAATTGTTGTTGGAATTTATTTTCTCAGCTTGGTGGTTTTATCTTGAAGCCCTCACTTTCCTTCTGAATAACATCATTAGCACAAACTTTAGATAGAAGTGGACCACTCAACTTTCTTCACATATGACTGATAGCCTGCCCCGCGGACATTGGTCTTAATTAGATTTTGGTAATGCTTGTCTTGTCATAGTTTGTTTATTTGCTTGTTTGATAGAACAGGCTGTCAGTCATGTATAAAGAAATTTAAATAGCTCACATGCATATGGATTTTTGCTAGTGATGTTATGCAGAATAACAACGAAAGTTTCATTCCACCTAGCTCAGAAAATGAAAGTTTACCAAAATCATCTACGTGAGCTACAAATCTAATCCACCATCTCAAAATAAGATGTTTGTTTTCATTGATAAGCAGAATTAGTCGTCTAATCACAAAACGTAAAGAGGATTCGATACCTTACACCATGTATTAGAATATATCGCTGGTTCATATTCTTGACCTATCTGTTTATCGAACCACTGAGTTTGGGTACTGGGTAGTTTTTAAATTCAAAATTTGATTTATTCCTGAAATCATTATCTCATCAGTTTGTCAATAACCGATTCGTAAATCAAATACTGAAATGCGTCCATTCTATCTTGTATGATTTAATACATTTCAATAGTTCAAGATATAGTTAAGTATTAGCTACCATTTATTAAACAGCTCATTTCATTTTGAATAACACTAGTGACGATTCACACTAGACGTCTTGAATTTAACCCGTCAAAAAATTGCTGACAATCAATTTCCAAACCCTGGAGAACCATTACTATAGTTCGTATTCGTTATCATCTAAAGATAACTATCGAATGTTACCTGGCTTCTTGACCATGTTATAGATTTCAATTACCACTACAGGCAACAGGATAACATAGGTCTCTATTTTTCATTTCATCTGATCGCACTTGGTCATTTTAATAATTCGATAGTACATTTGTTTTGGCAGTGAACCATATGATTTGAAACCATAGTAAATGGCATTTTTTTAAATTTTAAGTTTACCTTACAGCTAAAGGTACTAGTCAGTATAAAAGTAGGTCTGGCAGCCTGTTATAATTTCTCCGGAGCATACAATAGTTCACATATCGTAAGAATCCATCACATAACTTCGCTTATAATTTGAATTTAAATCAATCAGCGTCAAAGTGCTTATGGATACTATGTATTCAAAAAATTAAAATCATAAGTTATCTAAAACTATAATTTCTTACCTTATTTCAGAGCCTACTAATAAGTATATCATGGAAATATCACGTGGGATTCTAATCTAAGCATTCATCTGTTTTCTTTCCACATCTACTAATAAGAACATTATGAGTACTTTTGGTGGAGATTTGTTCTCTGAGCTGGATGGTTTGGTCGTGGAGCTTTCATCGTTCTTCTGAACGACATCATCAGCACAAACTCCACCAAAATCATCCACCTGAGCTACAAATTTTCTCCACCATCTCAACATTATGAGTACACCTGCTGATTACAGTTTATCTCCGTTTAGTATATCTTATTATATTTTTTCTGGAGGTCAAGACTGTTCTTATTAAACCCTATAGATTCAAACTAGTCACTGACATAGTAATTACGAAATTAACAAATTGAGCTAAAACGGACAGACAACTGAAATGATCTCAATACAAACATAAAGGAATACTTACGAAAGAAGATAATTCACGCTGACAATACAGTTTGGTCTTGAGGATCTACTGTTGTGAATTATGGTTGCATACGATTGTATCCACACCCAACCTCCAGATTTATTCAGCAGACGATAATATGGTGTTGTAACTTGACCTTTATTTAAAACTATAATTAAATACAAAAGTATTCATATGAAAGATCAGCGCCCCAACTAAGGATTAGTGATATGAGAATTTCAAATGAAAAATAAATTTCTTCGACCTATTCATTTTCTTATTACATGTCTGAATGGAAATTTTAACTAAAAAGGAGTTCAATTTCCATTCAAGTTGTATGGCAAGAGCTTGTTCCTTTTAAATACTGAATACCGATTGTGAATATTGTGTGACTTTTTATCAAAACTGGAAATACTGTATATAACCGAAGTTTTTATTCTTTACACTGCAGTCATCAAAAAATTAACCAACAATTTTAACTTACGTATTTCATGAGAGTGTTTTAAGGATCCAACATCTGCTGTGTGTACCAACTGATAAAGTGTTTTATCCACCAATTCTTGTGGTTGAAAGCCGGTTATTTGAGAAATTCTTCATCCGACAAAAGAGAAAAGATGGTAAAGAATAATAATAGTAACCTGTGACAATGGAAAATGTGTAATTCAGATCAGTTTAAATAGATAAAATATATATTTTTTTATGTTGTTAAGGCAATGTACTTTTGTACACAAAAGTATGCATACAAGACTGTTAATAATCAGCGAAGGATGAGGCTCAAAACTCAAGTCAAGTATAAATTAACTATAGTATAAGTAGGAAGAGTTGTGATGTGAATAGTTTTGTCGCTTTTGCGCAAATATTTCTGAAAGGATTCCAAATAATCTTTTTGACGTATCATAAGGCTTAACACGTTTAGAATATCAACAAAGGCCATTCCATTGGCAAAACAGTAATGAACTATATCAGTTGAATATTCTCACTACCTAAGCTGGGCCACCATTGATAACTTAGAAGCACTGATCAGCGCTTTCGCCCTAGCATGGAACACTCAGAAGTGCACATCCATGGCACCACATGCGGAACTCGAACGCGTGACCTTCGTTTTCGGGCACGAGAGCCCAACCTCTAGACTACTGAGTTAGGTTCCGACGTTGTTAATGCCAAATTTCAGTCAATCAATGATCTTGCTCAACCCTTCATCCATTGTCTTGTGTAAATAGATGTCTCACACCCGACACGGTTGGACTCCTTTGGTCACAGCTTCTCACTAGAACTCCAGGAGTTATCTTAGAGCCAGTCACTAGTGAACACATGACTGCTATTAGTGTGGGGATTTGTGGAGATCGTGGTATTTCACAATAACCACGCCTTTTGATATTGCTTTTGTGTACGTATAAATTATAATGAATAAATGTATTTTGTAATATATATATATATATATATATATATATATATATATATATATATATATATATATATATATATATCATACATCTCATATCTTTATTCATCAAATGGATGAATTGTCCATAATGCCTGGAACTATGATAGTCGGAAATTAAAATCAAGCACACACACGGTATTCACCTTACAATTCATTATCTACATTTACATTTTCTACTTAGTGATGTCTACTAGTGGTAAATGATGTTTTTGACTACACAGTGACCGATATTCGGTTTACGCGGAACTGTCGTTTACGTAGTATTACTAAGCAATATGCATTTGATGGAATATTTCATTTCGTTTGTAACATGCATATGGAAAGTGACTGTATACAAATTAAGCGATTTAAACAGGCTGTTAAAACAACAACAGCAGATGACGGTGATGATAAAAGCGTTACTACCAAACTTATTTACCATAAATGAGGTTTTTTAGAGACTATTTATGAATCAGTATCATTCACATCACTGTGAGTATTATCTGTCCATATAGTTTTAAAGGCCTTTTTTAGTTGGTTTAATGAAGTGATCCGCGGACATGATTTTCTTTTAATGTCTTTATCAAACAAAGACTACACAGCCAAGCAATTTTCGCCCAGTTAATTTTGTCCTACCAGTGAGTCATTTTAATTGTTGACCATATTTCCAATTGACTAATCTGTAGACTTTGATAATCAAAGTGTAATGTAACCTAATACCGTTCATTGAGTACTTACCAATTATACGTTATTTTAAGGTGTCAAGAAACAGGATAGAAAGTTAAAAATAGTTACTAATTTTACACTTATTTTTACCTACCTGCCTTCCAAAAAGATTAATTTTAAATCTAAACTGGCACGGAACATGAACATATCCATACTTAAGCGTATTTCTGTATTATTTGTATTCGGTGAAGGAATTGCATAGGCGAATGATATTAAGCCTAAATTTTGGTAGTACTGATATCCATCTAGGTGAATAACACGAACACGTAAATGTCCATTACAGTGTATTACCTAATAATAAAAAGAACGCAAAATGATAATACTAATATTGAAATCTTCTAAAAAAAGTAAAGGAGATTAAAGTTCTTAAATTATTCTCCGGTGGTATCATTAAAATTCAGAGGGCAGTGGTTAGCTATTCCGTTCTTATTTGGGACTTTTCAGAAGTATCCACCAACGACAGTGTCAGAGATTTTACCAAGGATCAACAGGTTTTACTGCTGGTTAGACGATTTTAGATACTTCAGTTGGAATCCGTTTCCCATATTACTGATAAATCTGAAGTTAGAAATAAAACACCTATCTAATGTTCCTTGGTTTTCAATACTCCCTAGTTGACATCGATTCATGGCTAAAACTAATCTTAAGTAAGCTCAAATATTTACCCGCACAAAATTAAATTACCGATTAATAAACCGAAAGGAAAGTACAAAATGATTAAATTGACATCAATGACTTAGCAATAAAAGTACATTATTCATATTTTGAAGCAAAAGAGAATAAATTACTTTCATGATACAATTTCTAGAAATTTTCTGGGGATCTAAGATTCATGGATACTACTTATAAACACTGTTGTTGCATATGTATTATAATTGATATAAAATTTTATCGTTGTTAAAGAAATCGGTTCACTTTGTACCCTTAAAACTTTCACTCATCAACCAAACCTGTTTAACTGAGAAATGTTAAAAGTAAAAATTATCGTTACTTTCGGTTAATTGTTTAAAATGTATCCCTTTTTTCTGTTTGCGTTTAAATTTATTCGTTTCACAGCTACTTTCAAGTGAATATTGAGTAACTGTTTTTTTTTCTTTTTTAAGAACTCAATGTGCTGTTATACCCAAACCATTGTGTGTATACATCATTTTACAAAAAAGAGGTCACATTTGAAAAGTTTGTTTTGTTTTGAAAATCCACTAGTTGTTTATAAATTCTCGTGAGTCTACACACAGCATAACCTACTTTCACTATTATCTGTTTGCCCATGAATAGTTTATTATTATTTTGTTTCTATACAACTGACTAATCTGAACTTACTAAAACTATCCACTTCTTCAAAAATAGTTGAAATATAAAACCAAATGAATAGTAATCTTTTGTACAGAAACTTACTTTAAAACCAGCTGTAGTTAATCCAGCATTCCTTTTGGCTAAGACACACTTTACACGTAAGAAAAAGCTGCGTTCAAGTGTGAACTCTGGATGTAATGAAATAAATAAATACGAATCACAATTTAGTTATCAAACCAATGAGGACTTTAAATAAACGGGATTTTTTTAGTAATAATGATAATAATACGATATCGTTTTTGGTTATGACAATGGGTTATATGAGTTTGAATCCTTACAGTATAGGGCACCATACCCTTGAAAATTGTAGATACCCTCTTTTGATTAGTACCAACCTCATAAAACCGTAATGTAGGTTTCCTCATAAACTACCTGTAACAATTTTGTACAGAAATATAGAGACATATAATATTGAATCCCTTAACCTAAATTTCACATGAAGAACTTGATGAAGTAAGAAAGCCAGTGTTGACTTTAATCCGACAGTGAGTTTATATGATGTTATTCAGTCAGTTAAGTGTGCAATACTGGTATGAAGTGAGGGAAAAATCAATAGAAGGTTCGTGTATCTTTTTTACTCCTCACCTTTCCATGACAAAAATGTGCTGTAATTAATCATACGTAGATATTTAAGTTCAACTGAAACATCCCAGTTCCAATCGAAGGTTAACTGATAATCACAAAGTGACATCAATTTTCTCCAGGAATACAGATACGAAATTTAGTATCCTTAATATCGTAAGCAACTATCAACGACTTCTTAATCTTATCGGTTAACTTCAAGACTTCTCTTATTTTTTTTTCTCATTTAAGTAGACTTTTAATTGTATACAAATGAATCTCTCTCTCTCAAATTATCTGTTAAATGATAACGTGATTCAAAGCAAAAGATCTATGTCAATTCAAGTTAGTACTCAGTTTAATCACAGATGGTTAGTCATTTATCAATAGATATTAGCTTAACTGGTGATAATATTCACTTCACAAGTCAATTGTCATACTGAAAACCGTAATAACAAGAAATAAATAAGAAAATAACATTTCACGCTGAAAGTCACGTAGGATTACACTTGAAAGAATGAAGAGAGAGAATAATAAAAAATAAGATTGGCTAAATAGGAAGAGTGAGGAAATATATTCAAGAAATTTTCTTGTTTTAATGTTTACCTATTTCTTTACACTTTTATATATATATATATATATATATATATATATATATATATATATATATATATATATATATATATTCATCCTTTGATCGAAGGAATAATAACAACAACATCCATTCATACTTTCAAATTCTACCTATCTACCTATCTGTATTCTCCGCTTTCCTCACTCAATTTCAACGAATAAATCTATTTTTCAAAATGATTTTTAACCGTTTATTTTTTGGTAGAAAAATAAAAAATAAAACATTGCTGATTAATTATTCGTATCGGATAAAAATGAAGAGATAAAAAAGGGCAAGAAAACAACAACAAAAAATAGATATTACACTTTTGAAAAGCATTTGAGAATAGCAGCACTTATCATGGCGGTGACCATAATGAGAGTGGTGGTAGTGGCGTAAATTATCTGAAGTTCATGATTAACTTACAACATGAAAGTGAACATATTAAGGAAAGATTAAGAATGAATTATAAATTGTGTCTACGTCAAATAATTTAGATACTGTGAATCCAGCTGTGTAAATATATTATACCATTTGTTCAACTTATTATGTGTTTATATAAAGATGTAATAACTTGCAATAATAATGATAAACTGAGGGGACACAACGTTAAAGATACATAGAGAAAGGGGAGTGGTTGTAAAGGTAACAGTAAAAAGAAGAAAACGATGAGTGAAGAAGAGGGGAGGTGGTCGAGAAAAAAAGATAGTAAATGTCCTCTTGTTCTCGCTTATTTCAAAACAAAAACAGAAGCCATTTACAGAAGGGAAATTTCCCTGTGCAACAATTCATCAATATTCACCTATTTGCTTACGTGTGTTTGTGTGTATAACTGTATATTTGTTTCTCTGTGCAAATGTATATATTAAAATGAACAAATTGTAGAAGAAAATTACACACAGGTAGATTCAGATAAACAAAAAATTCTGACGAAGTATCAATGAACATTAGCGTAACTGATTCATGTGAGGTTTATCTTCACTTATCAAAACAAAACCATAATGAGACTACCATTGAACATCATTAAGTCATCATTGAGGTTATTATTATTAAATTTACAGGAAATTAATTTTAAAAAAGAATAGATCAAGTCATTAAATTAATTTTTCTCATTCACAATGATGTGTGGGAGAACAAATAAATGTTTCAATGTTCAACATGCTGTACAAACTTGTTTGAATATTTGTGGGAACAATGGGATAAGTCATACTGCAATGAAGTTGCTATCATGTAGGGACTAGTTGCTTTAAACTTTAAGCTCAACTCTGTATCAGTTCAGGAGGTTTGCATTCACCGACGAATCAATCCAAAGGTATTTTTTATAACTTAGTTAAAATATTAGTAAAATACAAATATGAGATTTTAAACTACTGGAATAAATTGAAATGAGTATGTTCCAATGTCATTTTCGGCTGAATGAAATAAATGTACGCAGTTTAAAAACATACTATCAACTTATTGCTAAGTGACTTTCTAATTGGTGATCAAGTTTCACCTACCTCCTTTCAGTCTTGTCTTGTATTTATTGTTCATATCTATCCCAAAGACTGAATCGGTGGACGATTCAAGTATAACTATCTTCATGGGGATGAATATTCTTTTTACGTCTTAAAAGCTTTACTCACATCATTGTTACAGTGGAAACATATTCAACACAATTTTGCGAAGCATCAGTCTCAAACTGTATTTCCGCCGCCATCAGAAACTTCGTTTAAATACATAACTTTAGAAAACAGTTTATGATGGGCTAAACGTTTTAGCTGAAGCATACGAAATTTATCAGAGGCTAAATGGAATGATGCTACAATATCCAACACGTATTAAAATCGTTCATTCTTTTGGAGAAGCTCACTCTAAACCATACTTAAAACCATTGAAAGAAACATTCTTAAGCATGTTTAGTTTAGCTTGTAAAGAATTAATTAGTTATCTGTTTAACATTATCCCAAGATTGCTTTGAAATTAGTCAGCCATGATAGTATCGAGAGTACTTTTTAACATTACCGATAACAATATCAATAGTAAGCATATTAATGTGGTTGATTTGATTATGGTAACGTTTCTTCAATACTAATTTGGCTAAAAATACACCCGAGGCACCTTTACAACATTTCTTACTACACTGTATGAATAATAAAGTCCATTACCAAATTACTGAATCCATTCATTGTTGTTACTATCCAAAACTGCATACATTCATTATATTTATAATAAACACCTAAGTACTGCGCACTTACCTGACTGACCAGAATTAGCAGCTATTTCTGATGGGTGCACAGTAAGTATCTGTTTCAGTTCATCATGATCCAATGGATGCAAATATTCAGTCATTTCATTTCCGGTCATTTCAACCTTTGAATACATTAATAAATGAAAATGTACGTTATTGTGTATTAAAAGGTTGCAAAAATATGTAAGTTAATTGTGAGATAGATTTTCAGTAAATACTAACTGAGTACAAGTCAATAGCTTAGATTAACTCAGTCTATATGTGGGTTACCAAAAGAATTATGAATACTTTCCAGATTAATATTTTAAATGTGTACATATTTAATCAGTTAAACAAATCATCTATTTGAACCCAGAACGAATCATTTCTAAATAGTTTTATTTATACAATAGGAAAAAATGAAATATGATCATATAATATTCAATGAGTAAAGAATGAATATAAAAATACATTCATGATCCATATTTTGATACCTGATAGGTATCACTTCAATGACTAGTTGAATCCGAAAAGTACTAAACGTCCTTTTGGTTCTAATTCCGTACACTTTATAAATAGTTATTGAATATTAAGTGGATTGAACTGGGCCTGCTTCAGTTAACTCATTGTAAAGAACTTTTCAATCAGCTATGTGTACTTACTTAGACATCATAGCGAGTCTTTGATAAAGTGTACTCAATTGATTGGATCAATTTTAAATAGTTGATAAACAAATTAGGCTAATACACTCAATTTTAATTTAGATATTAGGCGGATGGCAAAAATATAACTTAGTATCATAATTATACTGAATAAATACTAGTGAAAGTCCATGTTTACTTGAAAAAGAATACCAGTATTTTCGAAGAGAATTCGTCAACAATATTAACTAGAAAAAAACAAGACATTTCAATTACCAGGAAATCTTTCTAAAGCATAGTATAGGTGCTTCTTTTGACAGATTAAGAGTATATAAGAAATCAGTGGATTTTATTGTCTCAAGTGTCTACTGTTTTCGGGGGCAGGAGATATCGGATTTAAGTTACAATTAATATTGACTTAAAATTACCTGAGACAAACCCAGTAGAACAGAAGCTGTTTCCGATATGTACAAAATTCTCCCTTCTAGCGAAACAATGAAGATGAAACCATCCATTGACTAGAGAAAAAAAATTAAAAAAACAATTGTTTTTAAGTGGGCAGACTAGAAATAGACATGGTGAAACTATTAAGATTCTAACAGTTTAAAAACATCTCTGACTACACTCTTCAACATCTTAATTTCTTGCTGCTAATTCTTAGCTTTTAACACCTAGATGTGATTAGTTTAAATATAAAAAGATCTTTTGAAGCAGTATGGCTGATATTTACACAAAACGTCTAATAGTATAAATATGCATCCCACATACTAGATGTTTCCAGTTTGAGTTCAGTTGTTACTTTATATACATAGCCGGAGATTACATGGACTTGCAGATTAAAGGATTTATCAATACTCATCTGTTCCTCGATCTATCGTTCCAGTTAAACAGGGAGTATACAGATTGAATCCAAGAAACTACGGTAGAATATTTTGCTAAACATTTGTAAGAAACCATTCAGAAATGAAAATAAAAGCACTCAAATGGATAGTAAAATTATGGTTGTTTTTAATTGACCAACTTCAAAAATGAATTGCAACAATAACCTTTTATCTAATAACAAACCATAAAAGTATATTGTTCTTTAAATAGTAACAATCCATTTTTTTAATGGTAATTTTAAATTGTTCTCACTTTAAATATGTTTGGAGCCAACTCTCTCTCTATTACGTGGTTAGATAGTGTATGAGAATAGTTCCAGTTATCGCCAAAACCTACAATTTGAAATACAATAAACTACATGAATGTATTGAAACAGTGAAGCGAAACAGTAATTAGTTTGATTCTACAAGTTGAAAATTACTTACATATTACTTTAATTGATGGATAGATTTCGTTACCGACATCATTTCGTTAATTGTAGGGATTTTTAATTTACTTGAATAAAAATTGACTTATCTTTTTTAGGGTCAAGCATCAGACATCTAATAGTAAATCGACTGAGTCGATTGCATTTATCATAGTATAAATATATACGGATACTGTTTCCACCAATCACATGAAATTACTGAAATAACCTTCGAAACTAGAAATAACCAAGTATAAACTTTTTGAAGAAACCACTGAATAATCTTTCAAGTTTATGAGTATTTGTGAACAATTTTTTTTTTATGAATTGCTAACACAATTATGATTTATTTCATTTTACAGTTGGTAGTTTACGACAAGTTAAAAAAAACTGCAGATGTTAAATGACGAGGGTTTCGGTATGATTTCCGAAACAAGAATAAATCCACTTAAGAGCCTAATCATTTAATTTCAAGTCACTCATCCAGATCTATATTCGTCTAGATTTTCCCCTGTATAATTCTCCGTGACAGCTTCATTCTGTTGATTGTTGATCACTACAAACCCTAGTGTTTTTGATATAATTAATCAGTTCCAGGATGCATGTACGAGGATTTTAAAATCTTGAGCTTACGTTAGGATAATGTCCAATACACTATCTTCAGGATAGTGTGGAAGCAGGATCAAATAGCTAGTGGTTTGCAGTTTTATTACGTTTTTTAATCGTTGTTTTCAGTCTTATTCATTGCTCTCATCACAGTTCAATAAAACATCATCCACAGAATTTTATTGACGTTAAAGGAAGACGAAAAAAAATGCATTTTTACGCAGTAATTATGTTATTATATTGTAAGCAATTCATTTATGCTTGTTACTTCCAATAGGTTAACAATAAGGTGAACACATATACCGCCAAATCAATTACACTCTGACTTCGGTAATAAACACATTTTACTATCTGGAATTCCCATTAACTAAATTATTATTTTATTGCTACTTCAGTTGTCATTAATCAAATGTGCCATTCTTTTTTACAAGGTTACCAGAAAAATATCACTTTAATGAGCATAGGGTGTACTGCAGATGATACTAATACCACTGATAATAATAGGAATAATAATGGTAAGAAGAATAATATAACCCTAAAGCATTTGATTGCATTTATGATATGTCATCAATATATACGTTTATATCCAATTTATTACACATTCGTTTTGAGAGTATGACCCATTGGATCAAGTCTCTTTAAATATTCAGTCTACATTTTGTCAGTCAGCTGGTCATATTTCACACAATATAAACAATGTACCCATGTATAAAGTCATAAATTTTTAGCTTTTCAGTTAGTTAACAAAGAAATTACACCCTTTCATCAGATGAAAAGAGTTCAATGAATCTCTTTGTACATATAAAATGAAACTGTTATTTCTTTTAAGTGAAAAATAAAATAAAACCTCATTAATTCCTTGTGCAGTATCTTATGATTGTACAATAGAATAATGCATGGTTCTAAACAAGATTATAGTGTACAATTTTGTTCTCCCCATACGTTTCATTAAAAAAACAAACAAAATTATTATTGTCCATTACTTTGATTTGTTGCCCATTTGTTTAAAATACTAATCCTATTGTAATCGAGGTGGATCAGACCTAGTTGTCACTCAATATAAATTTCCTTTTGTCCTGTATACATAAATTCACTTCATAATACTGAATTGAAACATAGTTATCTACTGGATTGTAGGATGCAACTTTTAAATAATCAACACGATGCGCTAACAATATAGCTGGATCACTGAGTGTCTCAATTAGGCAGTTTGTAAATGTAAGATATCAGTTTCAATGAATCATCTAACTACAATTATTTTCTCATTTCATTTTCAGATACGATTTGAATCAACTATTTCAAGTGACCTGAGTAATTAGTATTAACTTATAATGAAAGTAAACTTGAATCATAAATAATTTAAAATTTAAAAATCTGTAAAAACTTACTTCGGTGCAGGACTAAATGAGTAATAAGATGCTTAATTGAGTTTTAGACCAATGTAGTTTACACCATGAAATAAATTTAAGTAGATAACTACTATAAACCGAAGAACATTAGACAACTGTTTTACTCTAGCTTTGAACTCCTCAAAATTATATACCCACAACCGTAATATTGAATTAAACCAGGGACCTCCAAGTGTATCGGACAGTATAATCCCATGCAATCGTTACAAAGAATCTCAGTGGTCTACACTTTACATTTGCTCTTTACATACGTTAAGCATCATGGGTATGATTCCTACTGAGTGAACAGCACTGTGTCTTAAATTCAAACAAAGCCGACATGGTAATCACTTTTTTCCCATATTTTTTCCAGTTGGTGTTAATCCATGATTATAATAATAACAATAAAAACTATTTCCAACATTAAACATTTCTTACATATCTCCTCATTCAATTAGTTTTATTTAATAATCCAGTCTGTGTGAACTTTGCTGTTCCAGTTCCAATATTCAGATAATTCTCATCATATTCTTCTGTGTTTTAATAAAAAATTAAACCATCGTAATAGAACAAATCAATTATGGTGTTACTGCAGTGCAAAATGATGAACTTATCACACATTGGCTTCTAGTTCATTCCATGACTATTGGGTCTATATTTATCTTATACTATAACTTTTCAGGATTACAAATACATTGTTTTTGGTGGAGTTTTGTTCTCTGAGCTGGATGGTTTGGTCGTGGAAGTTTGTGCTAATGATGTCGTTCAGAAGAACGATGAAAGCTCCACGATCAAACCATCCAGCTCAGAGAACAAAACTCCACCAAAATCATCCACCTGAGCTACAAATCTTCTCCACCATCTACAAATACATTGTATTTTATACAAACGGTATTCATTTAAGTGTTTATTTCATTCCTTATTCAATTTCATTGTTTAGTTATAAATATTATTTATTTACATATCACAATAATTGTGAATTAATTAATTCATGGTAACCTTTTCATTTATAGATGCGTTTTTGTTATGAACAATAAACTGTTTAGGCAAAACGCAAATATTTTCTTAATATTCTCTAAATACATACTACGTGTATAAATAATCCTAAGAACGTGCTTATTTTCTCATTTTTTTCCTATCGGTTTCTGTATGTCTCTCTCTCTCTCTCGCATGCATGCATGCACGCACACACACACACAGAGAGAGAAAAGTGCTGTGGTCAGTCCACTTAACTAGCCATTGTAAACTTAAACGCACTAATAAAAAGTAATAATAATTTTATCATCATAATAATTACAGTGATTATTCTTATTGTTATTGCATGAAAACTCCGATGTGAACTGAAAAGAGGACGAAGTAAATTTATTCACTTTGACTAAGAGTTAGAATGATTCAACTGTGTCATTTATATTGTATACATATATGTAAGTATGTTTGTATGCGTAGCTAGTAACCAATTCGAGTAATATACTCACGTATTATTGAGTAGAAAAGATAGGCGAGATAACATAATCAACAAAAGTAGATAATTCTGTTTAATCGAAATATGCTATATATTTTGTCGCCCGGTCTATGTATATCAGTTTCCACCCTCTCCCCTTCTGTTTTGCTTATCAATGCTACTCATTAACCCATCTTAACCATAATAAAAATAAATTCAAACAAATGATGTCATAATTAGTTGAAAATATAATATGATAACGTTGAGTTTTTGATAAATTTTAACTTAGACTTATAAACTTCAATAATTTACACTTGTTGCTGTGAGATCTCAACTTTATATATATATATATATATATATATATATATATATATATATATATATATATATATATATATATATATATATATATATATATATATGCACATAAGCAAACGTGCTCAAACAGCTAGAAATAATAGAAAAAACATGCTTTATCTCAATTCATGTAGTTAAATTGCTCAACAGTGAGACCATAACCAATAAATATTTGTTGTACCATAGATACACCAATTTTGGTTAAACTTTATGATCAAATTAGCTAAATACATGGTTATAAATGAAATCCACAACAGTTGGTGAATTGATTAGTAATAAAAATTTTAGACCACTTAACAATAACACGAACAAATATTTTCTCTACAACTATCATACTTCTTAATTATGACTTTTAACTGAATATTTCATATGTTTTGTTATGCTGACATTTATTGAATAATGGAGTACTCATATAAAAGATATATGCAACCGCAGTTCACATAATTGAATTATCAGATTTAAGAGTACATATAATCTCCAATGTGTTAAAGTTTGTGTTATTAAATATCGAGGCAACACTCTAGAGAATGGCCGTACTTGTCGATTCTTCATAATTTGCTCTCTCAATAATGACACAAGTACATGTGATGAAAAAAATAATTAGAAAAACAAACATGATCTATTGGTTTTTGTTCCCCAGTTTCATTTATTTTTTTTTAGCAATAATGTTATCCACTACCCAAATAATGACTTGTCTCTTAGAAGGCTAAAAAGTGTTGGGTTCTATCCTAGAATTAAAAGTCTTAAATTAAAGTATGACTGTATCCTTATGATCGTTGATAATCTTTCGACTAATTCGCATTATACATTACTCATAATTTAGATATAAAAATGCTTTATCATTATCACTCTTAAAATTTTTATCATTATTGACATTAATAACTGTGAGTTATATAAGTGTTATTCAGTGAGACAATAATAACTCCGATGAAATACCTACCGTTTGGAAATATAGTTCTGATTTTTAAATAACTTGTTGTTAAACGTATAATAGATGCTTTGTCCAGTTGTGATGTAATTGCACTGGGAAGTGGTAAAAGTCTAGCTAATTCATAAAACTCTGTATTTTCTTTTTCACGTCGTGTACGAGCAGCATTTTTTGATTTCTCTTTCATTCTTGGAGATGTAGTCGCTGCAGTATGCGTATAATTGTTGGTGTTCTGTGATTGTTGAGCTGGATGTAGTTGTGAATGAAGAAGTTGCTGTTGTTTCTGCTGTTGGTGTTGATGTTGTTGAGGTCCCGGGGCGGTGGGGATAGTGGAACTATGTGAATAATATTGTGATACAGGGTGCGTATGATGAAATTGTAATGACATCAGAAATTCATTTTCACAGTGTTCTCGATTCATTTGATTTGTATGATAATTTGTAATTGTTTGATCATCTACATATTTATTATTAAACTGATTGGAATAAACTGGTAAAATACCGTTATGATTAAGGCTAACATTGTTACTATGACTGTTTGTCGTAGTAGCAGTAACATTAACAGTGATATCGGTCGTAACAGCAGAAGAAATACTAGTAGTAATATTAGTAGTATTGACTAATCTTGCTGGGTAGTTTGTGTGAAAGTACTGACCTGCCTCAGTGGTATGATTAAAATTATGAATATTAGTAATTAAATTCTCTGAAGGTTTAATTAAGTCCGATCGAGAGCCGAAAGCATAATGATTATGTTCATTTAATGGGTACATATTCATTGAATCCATTGGATAAAAATTAAATGATTTAGTGAAATTTATTGAATCTGCGTAATTTAGTGTTTTATCGGGAATCGGACAATTTTCAGTTGAATCATTAAATTGATCACATTTATTCGATGAATAATGCTGTGGAGTTATATATTCCGTCTGCATTTAAATATTAGAATAACTGAAAGGTAAATAACGAAACTTGACGATAGACTGTAGTTTATAATAATAAGGGAGATGAGTGCGAAGTTATTGCATCATTGTTATACTGTACTGACAAAAACGTCGTCAAAATGGTAGATTTTTCAATTACCTATTTGAATTTATGTCTTACCGTCCATTTGAATAAAAACCTGATTGTTTTCATGTAATAAGAAAGAAATTCGTTGCCAAGTACTCTAATTGAATATGAATTATTCACTGTATTGAGATGATTATGGTACAAAATATCTGTAGTTCAATATACGAAAACTCTGAGTGAGTAATTAAATGAAGCAAGATTATTGTGGGTATTGAAAAGTATTATCTTCAGTCACAGAGAGAAGTCAGTCAATTATTTTGTTTAAATCATGCTACGTTAATTTATGTGCAAATTCAACTCAGCACAAAAACATTTTTATTACGAATTCTTCTAAACAGTCGATTAGTTTAGAAGGTCAGTCGTGGCAAGAATAGATCAGAGAAAACATATTCAATTTAATTAGTTAATAAAACTAATTAAAGTCTTGCAAACACCGTGTTTATAGTATCTGTTATAGATGTGCTTCGCTGATTAATCTTGCTAAGACTAAAATCTAAGTAAACTGTACCTTATGGAATGTTCAAGTAATAAAACTTTAATACTGTCAGATTTGAGAATACACTCAAAAACTTCTAATCATAACCAGTACGTTTAATTTTTTTTTACTTATTTCATCTCAAACGAAACTAACCAAGTGAAATCTTCTTTCCTAGCCAGTCACTAGCAAATTACTCATCGGGAAAGACCTTGAATTTTCGATGTTTAAGTAAAACTGACTGGAAATTTTTTTACATTCAAGTGTAACCGTTTAAGTTCTTTACGTACCCATGGTACAACTATTAATGGTATCTACAGATTCTTAGATATTTACCTATAATATTAATTTGCTAATTGTACATGCATCCGGAATAAAACCATTTAATTCCATAATGTTTATATCAATAAAACGCAGATAAATTCTCACTTGAATGCTGTGAACTTTAGAATTTTGAATAAAGACTAGGATTTGAAAATTCAAACTAAGTTGGGGGTGAGATGAAAATTATAATCTCACTGTAGAACGATTTGTACGATGAAGAATAAATAGGGAAACTTAATGGTCAGGGATTAGTAACTAGGATGGGTTGAAACAACTTCTCTGTTTTACAGGTAAGGAAATCGATATAAAGTTTCTCATGAGGATATATACTACTTAAAAATTAAAGTGAACTTTCAATATTGTGAATAAAGAAAACTGTTGAAAAAATCTTACGAATGCATTTAGGATCGTAGTAACCATGACTTGTGTTGTTTTCGTAACATAAACTAGACTAACATTTACCCTGTTATTTTCTAAACAGACAAACAGTCAAATTAATTAAACTGACCATATTTGTGTTATTGTTGTTGTTCTTCTTCTCCTCTTTATTATTATTATTATTGACATTACAGCTAATTTTAAAACTGTGAAATATATAATATTATTGTCTACAATCCAAAAGACGAACATTTATATCAAGATTATTTACTTTAATGTGATTTGTCACCACCTTTGGTACTTTTCGTGGAGTCATTTTCTATTTAAGAAAAAAGAACTTTTGAAAAAGTCACTTCGGGAACTTTATTAAGTCAATGGATTTCAACTTAAACTTTCAAAATTTTTTTGAAGTATCATTTTACTTTAATAGAACTGTTCCAGAAATCAATGGTTTCATTGTTTTTCTGTTACGCATTCTTACTTTTACCATGTACAATAAGTTAGTCTGATGAAATATTGATGAATATTCTGTGTATCAGCGAACGAATAATTTTTTTAAAAAGAGGCAACAATAATTCCCGGATTTAGAGTAAACTGTTTAAAGTTTGAGACATTCTGATAAAAAACATTTTCGCACGATGATTTCGGATCTTAAAGATACAGTATGAAGTGATGGTAACTATTTATGGTTCCTATTTTCAACATACTTCTCGTATTATTCTTCAAATACAGTTTCTTCATAAGACTGGTGATATTATACAAACAATAGTCTCAAAAATTATTCAATGCATAAAAACAAGTTACACTGTTCCAATATTATAGATTTGTGTATATCAACCACCTGTAAAACTGTTATTATACTTTTGTGAATAAACACTATACACCGCCTATTAAAATAACGAAACATCAGAGCAATTTAAAAGTTATCTATATTTAAAAGATTAAAACACTACGGATAATCATCCTTGTATGTTATAAATGGGTATTGATAGAGTAGAGAAAAAAGTTTATTCGCATCAGATTTCCTAACAGAACACTTGTGTATAAATTTATTAAGTGACTGAAACATAATTTCAATTTTACAACGGTGTTAGTTATTTCTTTAAATTAATTATTTGGGAAATTAAACAATTACTATTCTCAATAGTTATTAGTGAATTTCACAGTGAGACATAAAGAGTAACTATTAATGATATTGAATATCTAATATACATTGATTTCATATACACACAAAAAACAAGTATTTGCTTTACAAGAGTGGAAATATTCCAGGTTATTTTTTTTATTTGATTCCCACCCTGATATTTAGCTCTAAATCCGCCAGCTTTATGTGGGTGGGGATTAAATTAAATGTGAAATATACAATATGTAACTAACATGCGCTACTAATTATGCACATGTCAGCAATCATTCTTACGAGCAGAAGAGTAAGTAGACGTTCACTATTGCTTAAGTGTATGTATGTCCCTATGTTACTGCCTGTATTTATATCGGGTTACTGGACTATGTGATTTTTTGTATTTATAATGAATATAAATGCCTTTTTTCTTATAAAAGTCAAAACATTACTATGCATTTGAGATTATATGACATTTTCGATACTGAGAAATATGCTGTAGGCTAATGAAGACTGGTAATTCGAAATTGGCTAAGTTCTCTGGAGAAGTTGTGACTGGTGTTATATTGGATCCTGTCAAGAAAGAGACAAATTTCATTGATAAAACAAGGCGATTTTATCTCAATGCCGTTCACACTTTGGCAAAAGAGTAGCATGGAAAAATGCTGGGAATATCTCATTATTGTTGATGGCATAATAACTCTGATGACGATTTCACTTGTAACTAGATAACTCTAGTCACTAGATAATCTATTTGTAATCGGAATATGAGTGAAATAGTGAATAAACTAGGATTGAAAGCGGAGGTGAAGTGGAATTCTCAGACAACTAACCGAATGAAACCTCCTTAGTAGTTTAGTTTTGTAGCTTAGTTAGCAAAACACTATAACGGTAACTCTAAGTTTATCATTTATAAATCTCGACTAGTTATTGGTCATGTATGCTTAAGTGCACAAATTATCATTCCTTTTATGACAAACAAACTAACTTGAATCTTGTAATAATGATGCTTTTTCATAGACTTGAGTCAAACAATTAAGGAAAGCAATTACAATAAACTTATCGTTTATATAAAGTAACACCATAAACTTTTGAATTAGTTTACAACCCTAATCCAAATCCTAATTAAGCGCGTAAACTAAACAGTTAAATAAACCGAAAATCAGTACGTAAATAATAATAATAATGATAATAATATAAATCCACTTTCAATTCTATGAAGTTTTACTTACATTTAATTCAGGTTTGTCTCTCTGTTAATATTAAATAAGCTTGTTAGAACAATAATGTCGGTATTGAAGATAATTAAGAATTCAATACTAATATTTGATTCCAGTAAAAGCCTGAGTAATAAGGTTTATTTTACTAAATATTTTGAGCAAGAATGTGCTAAATGATTGATTCCGTAAATTCCGTTATACTTCTGTGCACACAGTCCGAAATTAGTAGCAATGATAATTACAGCAATTTATAAGTGATAATGACTTTCTTCTTTGAATGTTTGACTCGACCTTTTTATATAACTGAACATTATCTATAATTCACTTAATCTTCGATAAAATTTAACAACACCCACCCCCACCCGAATTTACTTTACGAGTGTAATAATCTTTTATCTTCTACCCCGTTCATTTCGCTCTACCGAACTTTGTAACAGATATACTGGTTTCTAATTGGTTAATTTCAAGTTTTATTTCTTAAACCAATCAAATTCACATATTTTTATGTTAACTAGAGATTTACATTGGCTAGAAAAAGCGGCATAACTTGGCATTAATTTATGAACAGAAATAGGTTCTCAGATATTTTACCAGGTATGTATTTACTTTCTCTCACACCATACCTAATCACATGTTTGAGGATTGTCGAAAATTCACCTTAATTTGAATATTGTAAAATGGAAGCGGTTGTCTACTACATTGACTATTTATTATGTTATATTATTATCACTGTTAAAAGCATGAGTAGTTGAAGTTGTCTATATCTATCGATCAGATCTTAGTTTGGGAAATTTCGATACATAGATTACATTCCCTTCTATAATTCTGTAAATATGAAATTACGGGATTTATGAAGAATATTTTTCACACGATATTAGTTGAAGTATTATTCAAAAATAACGGATCACATAACAATTTTCTCATTGATAGTTTAAGATGTCACATCATTATATAACCATGACACAGTCAGTGGGTATGTTAACCTCAGATCAATGAACTGACACTTAGTGGTTCATAATCCGAAATTCGATTCAGTCACTGTATAAAGTGGTGATTATTCAATACAAGTGTTATTATCTATTTTTATTCTGATACAATCGAACTTCACTAGTCACTTCTCATCAGATAATCAGAAACTCATTCCGATGCCGGTCTCTTAAGGACGGATAATCAATATTTATTTTCAGGAGTTTAGAAAATGTTATTTTAAGTCATAATTGGTATTCATCATGGCTTGAAGTGAAATGTTAAATCAAAGATGTAAATATGTCTATGATATATAGCATAATATAAGTGATATTTTACTTATCGGTTTAATAAATTTTGTCTTGGATAGTGATGCAGTGTTCA